TCAATGAAGTCACCGAAAACGTGATTTTCACTATTTTGATAATTTTGAAGAGCTGCCATTTCTAAACTTATCGATGGATTTCGCTCATCTTCGAACTCATTCAAGGTTATTATCCAAAGAATATGTGTAACAAATTTCATCTAGATCCGTCAAGAACTGTAGACACAATCGCGGCAACAGCGTTATATTACATATATATACATACATATATAAATTTTTTAACTAACGTTATTTTTGAGCTTTACTCGACTAGTTAAGTGATATTACAACAAAATTCCGAGTAAATTCCGACATGAGGACCAATGCAAAAGATTGATTTCTATGAAATCTACCTAAAAAGATAGAGCTTTAATTCTCTGGGGGCTTACTGGTGCCGTGACTAAAGTTTTTCTATTATTTTCTACCAAGAATTACTGAGCACGAAACAAATGTTTCCCTTCCGAGTCCTCAGTGACTTCATTTTCTATAAAATTCGAGAACAACTATTTACTTTACACATAAGAAAGTTTTGTTTTGTTGCAATATTAGGTCTACAGAGACTTTGAACTTTTGAATTATTTATTTATATTTTTAAATTTAATTTTTTCTAGATTCACTGGGACCAGAACCGAATATTGGAATATTCATTGAAGACCACAAAAAACGGGCTGACAGCGATCCAAACGCTCCGCCGTTTGACGATTTACGAAATTACGCGTATGAAGGCGGTGGAAGTACTGCTGGATCTTTGTCATCGTTAGCTTCTGGTAAATAATAATTTGTCAAAATTAATCCAACTACACAAGCATTTTTTCCGGGATTCGATTTTGTTATAACAACAAATTGATTTTGTGATTTAACAAACTGGGTTGTTAGTACAACTTGAAACATTTTGTTAATGCATTTAATGATTTGATGCTATAACTACACTCACTTGTTATTGTTTTTATGCTTAATCCCGGAAAAAATAGACCTGGAAAAAATTTTAAAGTTATGATAAATTCATATTATTTCAGATTTATTAAATTATTATTATTATTATTATTTTTATTTTTATTTTATAATAATTTTAATGAAGTAATATGAATTTTTCATAATTTAAAAATTTTTTTTGGGTCTATTTTTTCCAATTACCAAAAAAATCATTTTGTTGCTGTCAGAAAATGACTTTGTTGCTGTTACAAAGTGATTTTGTTGCAATAACAAAACTAATTTGTTGCCAAAATATTTTCCAAATCAGCTATAGCATATTTTTAAATGTATTCTTATAAAATTTACTGTTACAAATTTATTTGTTATTCCAACAAATTCTCATCGTTATTATTAACAATAAATGCTCAGGTTGTTTAAGATCCGTGATTTATTTATCATCGTTTACATGTCAACAATATACAAATAAATACAATTATAAAATTCAAATTTTTTTAGATCTTAAAATCTTACAATCTTAGAATATCTTCTAAGATTTAAAGATCAAAAATAATTTGTATTTTATAATTCGACGGTCTATTAGCAAATTGTTTAACTCCTTATTTTTTAAAGGGTGATTTTTTAACATTTTGATGTAGCAATAGTCCAATTATAAATTATTTGAATGATTCAAACCAAAATATTACACCTTTATTAGATATTAATGATATTAAATGGTTTTTTAAAGTGATAATAAATTTTTAACTAATTGTTTTTTTCGTACAAATGGAAAATTCTATAAAAACGAGTTAGACAATTTGCTAATTAAAACGTCGAATTGTTTTTATTTGTATATTGTTAACATGTAAATGATGGTTTGTTATTAATTTATAGAAGACTGATGAAGTCCAGATTATCAACGAAACGTTGCGGAATTTGATACAATTTAGACATCAAATAAATCACGGATCTTAAACAACCTGAGCATCTATTGTTATTTATTGGTTGAGATCTAAATATTGCCTTCATTGTTATTATTACAAACTCTCTTTGTTCTAATTTCTTACAAATTTTTTTTGTGACACATCTAGATCTCTTTTAATTTTTTACCAAATTTAAGACATTATAAAATGAAAATTCATTATTTTATTACGCAATTATCTGAAATATTTACAGTAATGGCTAGTAGTACAATAATTAATAATACAATAAGTACCCGGTCATGTCACTACGTCATAATCCGATGAAATATAATAATTAGTACCCAACTAACTAAAACCTCCAACAACCCGAAAGTGAACCACCCTCAAAGCTTTGCTGCTGAACGATCAACGAACACGTATCGACATTTCTTAGCCTCAAGCCCTCACTGGCAATCGCTATAAAATAGTTAGCAAGCTTACTTAACAGCCCTCTTGTAATTATATAACTCAACAACTTTGCATTACTGGTTACAGGAACCGACGACGAACAGCACGAGTACGAGTACTTGGGCGCCTGGGGCCCGAGGTTCGACAAACTAGCGGATATGTACGGCCCGGCGGACGAGAGTGAGGAGGAAGAATAAACAATTAACAATTATTAATTGAATAAATAGGAAGATAAACAGCTTAAACTATCAGCCGCTATGATACCAGTGCGCGATGCCAATTTCCGCGATCTCGTAAAAAACTATACCCGCTGTGAATAAATAATTCGTAGTGAAAAATTAAGTTTCTGCCGACAAATCGCGCACCGACTTAAAAACTACCCACCATTAAAATCTTTACTCTTAAAAGTTTAGCTGTACAAGAAACTAAAAGCTAAAATTCAAGAAACGAAGTTTAAATATAAATATAAAACCCGTAATTGTGTCCTACCTGAAGCACGAACTTTGCAATAATATTTAACTTAAATAATAATTATAAAAAAACAAATATAAGTAATTATTAATTATAAATAAAAGTAATACTTGCACGCATTGATGCATGGGTGTGTGTTAAGTGCGCGTTTATTTAAGCACTTCATTCCTAAATGTGCATATTTATTGTTAAGGTGACTTTTGTATAAATAATTTATTAATTTATTACCCGATATTTTTTATTGGTATTATTATTAATTATAATTATTGATATTGATATTTTAAAAGTTAAAAGATAATTTAAAAAAAAACCGACACAGTTTATATTAAATTTTTACTATGTTAGTTTGTAATATTTGTAATTATAATTATTATTATTATTATTAATTATAAACGTGTCGTGTGAATATCGGCTTACGTGTTTTTAACTCACGATAAATATTTTTATGAAAAATAATAATAATAATTATAAATATTAAAGAAGAAAATGAAATAATAAATTGATAACAAATACCAAAGAACAATCTTAAAGTTTTAAACTTTTGTCTTTTTTATACGTAAAAAATAAACTAATTAAAAGAAATATATATTAAATACTCGGATCTCAGCACGTGGAGATTAAGTCTCGATTTTCTATCCTTTTTTAGTTTATTAATTAATTAATTAATTAATTATATTGTATTGTATTAAATTAAATTATAAATTAATGATAATCTTTTTATTATAAATTATAACTGTACGCAGTTAAGACCGTGATGTATAATAATTAACTGTATTACCTATACTGATAATTAGTTACCCCGCAATCTATCAATGGTTTATTGCCATACCTATCAATTAATTATTAATTATTATTATTAACTAATGATTCATTGCTCACATCGTGAACTAAAGATTAACATACACGTAGAAAAGTCATTAAAATATTTAATTAAGTGTAAAATAATTACACGAGGCTAAAACATTTATATTTGAGTCTCGGGACTTAAATAAAAACTTTGTATTTCTTTATGTCAGAGGCTACGAAGACCAGAAAAAAAACGTACATCAGACAACATATGTATTAAATAAAATAAATTAAAGTTTAAGATTTAAAATAAATAATCTCACGAGAAATACAACAAGCTTAAGAACGCTTAGTTATTAATAAATGTCGTACTTGTTTGTGTGAATAAAAGCAAAGACAAAACCATTTAGCCATCCAATCGACTGATTTGTAAATTCTCAACGGGATATTAATAGTCAATTTAACGATTAGATATAAATATATATATATATAATATAAATATAAATATAAATATATGTATTATAGTCATCAGACTATTTGTATAAGTGCATAATTATTGATGTACGGATGTGTAATTATAATGATTATTATTACTTATTTTTAAACAAAATTATTATTAAAAAGAATTGATGATGAAAATAAACGGAAATTACGATGGGAAATCAGAGCAACGAAGTGAATTGTAACTCTGGTTTTAAGGTTTATTATTTTAGTTATTGTAATTTTTAATTGCATCATTTAAATGTTGTGATAATTATTTCTACTATTTTTTTTTTGGTATTTTAAAATTTTGTGGCTCTAGATTTAACTTATATTAAAATTAAAAATTTTTTTATCTTTGATATGACTTACTTTAATATTTAAAGTTAATAAAATTTTTTTTACTATCATATTTATATTTTCTTTAATAATTATTAATTTATTAAAATAAAAACTAGACTTTATTGCAATTAAATCCCTCAACTAGAGCGACAAAATTTTGAAGCACCCTTAATCGCGTATACGCTGTCCCAAAAATCCTCTTCCTAGTCTATCATATGTCATATATATCATATATTTAGTATTAAAATTAAAAAGTATATTATTATTATAATTAAAATTATAATTATAACATTTATTAAATGTTTCGTCTAACATATGTACTTCCATAATCCCTTCCTCGTTATCTACTTGCACTCCTTTATTCATCAACACCTCGTTCATTGATCATTACGTCGTCATTATATTTACCGACTAGTTGTGTTTATTTAAATGAAAATCTATGATATGATAAAGAATTACTTTAACGCCATCGAATTTTTAGACATTAAGCAGAGACAGTATTCCTACAGACTGGCATTAAATTGAGAAAAGATAACTAAACGTTATTTAAATGAATAAAATAACAAAACTATTAGAAAAAAAAAAAGAAAATAATAAAACAAATGTTTTATCGTTAACACATGAGTTTATTGTGTGCAGTGGCATTAAGAGAGATGATTAGATTGCTGTTGTGTATGTACATTGAAGATTAACAAAATATGATAATGATTATGGTAATGATTATGATTATGATGATGATGATGATAATGGTAAAGAAGCAAATCGTTATTACACTGATATATTTAATTATTATTATTGAATATTGTTTTTTTAATTGATTAATCTTGCTGAAACTCAACTCACTCAAACGACAATTCATTACACATATTCATTTTTTAACTATTCAAATACTGTCAATATCTTGTACATAATGTAAAGTAACGAGAGTGAGTGCGCACATTTGAATTAAACACTCTAATTGAAATGACAATTTTACTAAAAACTGGTCTGACTTTTTTTTGCGCACAATTACTTTTTAAAACTTTGGATTTTTTTATGAATATTTAATTCGGAAAAATTGAAATAAATTTGAGTTGGTAGAGCAAGATTAATAAAATTGATTATTTACCAGAAAAAAATAAAAAAGTAAAAAAAAAATAAGCCAATAGATATATATATTTACTGTAGATGTTGACACACTGAATACTAAATATGTATATATATATAAAATATATATGTACTGCCACTGAACACATCTCATTAGTACAATTACCGAATATATATAAAAAAATATTATTATAATTATTATGATTATAATAAATTGTATCGATTGGAGATTACTATCTGCAGTATAATCGACATTCGTATTTTAAATTTAATTGGTATTTATTATTAATTACTTGATATTATCACTATAACCATACCATTTGTACGTTAATTATACTTCTGTTTGGACGAAATAAATGCCTTCTTTTTAATAAAAAAAAATATATAAATATATATTATTAAATTTTTTTAAATCCTAAACAATTAACTCTCAAAAGAAACTTAAACTTACCTAATAAGAATTTGCAATTTATTTCTTTCTATAGAACAAAAATTAAAAAAAAAATATGGATTCGACAGCATTAAAAGATGAAATAAATAAAGTAGTACAAGTTTTCACTTACCACCGAAAAAAAATACACTAGATTTTTCCTGAAACAAAAAAAAAAATTATTAGTATCAATCCAAAAATAAAAATTACTGCAAATACTTACTTCGAAGGACGCCATAAAAAAACTTCAGCTCTTAACTGGAACTCTCCATCTCGACCTGGTACTCCATGTTCTATAACAATATCACTGAACAATACTATACTTCACAAACTCACGGAACTTTTTAATTTTTATTACACGGTAATTTAAAACGCGGTTTAAAAAAACATCACTTCACTTAAAAAATAAAACATTGTTTAAACATTGTATTCTTCTCGGACCCGTTAATTTGCAATAAACCAGAGGGTCTCGTACTCCAATGGGCTCAAATGACAATTGTTTAAACGCCATTTTTTGCATTCTTCTTGACTCAACTGACCAACAATTGACATGACATTAAAGTTAGCAGTCACTTAACAATTTTTTAATTTTATTTATCAAAAAAATTTGTCCCAAAAAATTATTTTTAAAAAATTGCATTTTTTATTTTTTAAAATTTCTACAAGCCAATTTTTTTTTTCAAATTTTTTTTTGCCATAATTTTCATACAATTGACTAGTGAGTCTTGTAATCCTAAACGTAAAAAAAATTAACAAGGATTAGTGAAAAAATATGCAATAGCAACGATACCAGTGAAACAAACTAGCAAGTCAACCTAGAATGGTAGAAAAATAAAATTCTTTGATTAGTATGGATAATTATATTTTATTTAAAAAAAAAAATGATTGTTAATTTAGAAGATAAATAAAAACTCTAGCAATAGAAATAAAAAACAAAGGATTTAATTTACTAGAATTAAATAGTAAACTTGTAAATCGGAAATGAATGAAGCAAAAAGTTCCAACGAAAGCTTCTGACCGTTACACCTCCAACCGCCAAAAGTGCGGCATTTCTAGGACGCTACACTAGGGGGCGCTTCTAGCGGGAAATTTTAATTCAAAAATTAGAGTAAAATATTTTACCAATTAATAGATATTTTTTTGTTAACGCAATTAGTTTAATGTACTGAAATTAATTATAAACTTAATTATAATACACTAGTCTAGTATAATTTTAATAACTTGTTTTTTGTATCCGTGATTTCACTCGGACGTAAGGGCGTAAAGGTTGTGACAAAAAAAGTGACAGGTGCTGCCATTGAAGCAAAGCGGATAAATTAACAACTACATGTACTTCATTTTAAATTTTCACCTCCAGTTTTCTGAAGCAAAAGAGAGGGTGAAGTAAATATTATTGTTTTGAAGAAAAAATCTTCTCTATGTTTCTATTTAAAAACATAATTATATCTTTAAATATTATTTAATCAAATAAATTTTACATATTTCTTTATAATATATAAAAAAAAAAATTTATCTTAGATTAAATAAAAAATTTTTACTCAAAAATATAAAAAAGATAATTTTATGAAAAAAAAAATTATTTTAAATTTTATTTATTAAAAAAAAATATAAATTATCTGCAGCTTCTACAACAGGAATTATATTGACAGCGCGAGTACTTTCTTCTTTGCCTTTCGTGGTACGGCTCGTCGACAAACCTGACGAATTGATCCTTCGAAGGAAACTCTGAGGATATTCTCTGATATAATTTCCACAGAGCGACTTCCAAGCATATTTTTAATCCAAATATGCTGCAAGAAAAATACTAACAATGAACCAACTATCAGGTAATAACAATTAATTAATTAATAAATTGGAGCTTACTTATAAATAGAAAAGTCAACTGCTTCTGTGATATGGAGTGTCATTAAAAAAAAACCAAACGACACCAAGTACGTCAGAGCCATCGGTAGTTCATATTTGATGATCGCGTCAGCTACTTCTATTTGTTCGGATTCTTTCAGGATCTATAAACAAAAATCACAGATATGAATAAAAATAAATTGGAATAAAATAGTAGCAATTTTAATTTACAAAATAAAAATGTAGAAGAATTATTATAAATGAATTACGTTACGTGACAAATCCTTTTAGGAAAGACATTCAACAAAAGTGCGTCGATGGGACTCCAGATACAAGCCAGAGAGAATTCAATTATGAACATGGTTGCCAGTAGCTGGAAAAAATCATAAACAAATAAATAAATAAAATAAATCACCTAACCTATTTTCTAAATTATTAATTAAAAAAAAAATTTATTAATATTTAAATAACTTAATCTTGAGAATTTTCACAATAAATGGAAATGTTCAATTACGAGCAATTCTTATAAGTAATTTAACATCTTCATAAATTGTCCAAATTATTTAAATATTTTAAATATGGACGAGAACTTAACTTAAATATCAAATTTATTAATTTCAATAAAGGCTTACCTCGTACAGACAAAGAAAGGGTGCTACGGGTTGGCGAAATGATGATGGAAACAACGTGACTCTAGCAATGATAACATAGACCCCAGCAGCAAAGAAAAATAACTTAACCTGGGTGCCCCAGTCATCGTAGCTATCTTCTTGCGAGGTTGTTTGAAAAATGTAAATTCTACTGGTATTTAAAATCAACGCCCAAATAGTACAGAGTATCTTTGTCATTATTAATTTATCATATTTATTTTAACACTCCAGTAATTCATGCTCACAGACAGATAAAAAAAAAATCTCAAACCATATTTGACTTATAACTCTGAACTTGTTTGCAATTGGACGTTTTTTTATTTTATATAACTTACAGCAATATTACAACTTATAACTTTTAATTTAAATATTTTATTGCAATTAAAATGATGACCATGATGATGATGACTTGGATGTATCAGTCGATCCGCGAGTGTAAAAAAACCAACCAGTTACTTCAGGATCTTGGAAAGAAATCCTACGAGCGTTGAGTCCTCTTCCCACGAGCCATAAGTGATAGATTTTGATCCTGAAGAAAACAATACCTCGCTCGTTCTCGATTCTCTGTCATATTCTCAACGACTAATTCACTAATCACTAATTATATTTATTAAATTATTTTTTGTAATTTATAATTATGATTATTATTTTTTTTATTTTATTTTAGAGCTTACCTGGACATGTAGTCGAGCAGAGCATCAAGAGATTCTGTAGCGTCCATCATCCATACGAACGATAGTATGGACAAGCAAGATGTCATGTAGTTAGCCGCTTCGTCTGTTGCCATGAAATTAGCAAGACCGGCAACCACTGAGTAAGAATTTAGTCCCATCGTTGAATTTATCCACATTAGCTAGAATGACGATAAATTATTAAATTATTAATTATAATTAATCTATATTATTAAGAGAATAAGAAAAATTTTGTTTCCAAAATATTTATATGGTAAAATCGGTTTTTTTTTTAGTGAAATTTAGTGTCATTGCAAAGGTTTTGACTTGAATTTGTGCCTTTTCAAGATTTCATATCATTCTCACCGATAGTCAATTTATTATGATAATTATTTAGGCTGCATTTGAAAATACTCTATCTCTAGATACATGATTAAGAAAAGACCTTTTATCTTGTTAATTATTTTTATTTTTAAAAATATAAGCTCACCCCGACATTGCACTCATCGAGACCTTTCATTTGAGTACCCACATCGATTTTTCATATTTTTAAATGTATTATATATATTAGGGTATGCCAAAATGTAGTTACACTTCGTTGATGGACCTCTTGGAATTGGAATTTTGAGTTCCGCTTTTAACAGGAGTTTTGTTTGGGCATTTCCTGACATATTTTGAGCGTAAAGGATTTATTTGATTTTTATAGAATTTTTTAACATGAGTTTTGTTCGGCTAAATTTTGAAATTTTTAAATTCCAGCAAAAATGGCCGAACGAAACTCCTGATAAAAAATTCTATAAAAATCAAATAAATCCTTTATGCCCAAAATTTGTCAGGAAATGCCCAAACACAACTCCTGTTAAAAGCGGAACTCAAAATTCCAATTTTAAGAGGTCCATCAAGGAAGTTACATTTTGGCTTACCCTAATGTATATGGGGTATTCTATTCCAAATCGACCAGTTTTAAACCCGACCTCTTTAGATTTAGCTGAAACTTTTCAATTCTTTTTTAGCTTTTAAAAGACATTTTTAAGAATTTTAAAAAATTTTTTATCCAACCCAAAAAAAGTTATGAATTTTTCAAAAAAATAGCTTTTTTACTTTCAAATAGCCATAATTTTTTTGGACATGGACCTTTAGGTACCTTTCTTTTTTTTTAATTTTTGTTTTTGAATGAACTTTTCGAAAAAATCCTAATATAAAATTGAGATGAAATGTATGTGGCATCAAACTATTCGTAACGTGATTAGTTGAATATATCATAAGCATGAAAATATATGCAAACTCTATAGTCAAAGCGCGCGCTTGCGCGCGTAAATTCAAATTCTAGTCCTAATATAAAATTGAGATGAAATGTATGTGGCATCAAACTATTCGTAACGTGATTGGTCAAATATATCATAAGCATGAAAATATATGCAAACTCTATAGTCAAAGCGCGCGCTTGCGCGCGTAAATTCAAATTCTAGTCCCGTAATAAAATTGAGATGAAATGTATGTGAAACCAATTTATTCGTAATGTGATTGGTTGAAAATATTTATTCTCATTCTGATTGGTTGAAAGTGAATATAATATACATAAACGACACATAAATATATCATGACAATAAATATGAGGCGCGCGCTTGCGCGCGAAAATTAAATTCTAGTCCACTCTTATAATTTAGATGAAAAATATGAAAATATACATTGATGAAAACATTTTATTCGTAACGTGATTGGTCAAACATATCATAAGCATGAAAATATAGATAATTCCATACCAACAATCACACGCGCGCTTACGCGTGCAACGTATACTAGTTATAATTGAATATACCAAAAAAAAGAAACATACCTCGGATAAAAGATAACAGTAAGCACCAGGATATATCCTTAGCGGCAATCGTTTACTCTTACGGTCTAGCAACAACAAATACGTCGCTGTTTTGTAATCATTTCGAGTACTATTTAGTAACGACTCCCATATATTCTGAACTGAGTCGTAACATATTTCTGATAATATCCCCAATATTTCGTTGTCTTTTTCCAACTGGAAAAAAATTTTCATTTTAGAATTAAGTAGATTCAAAGTATTGCTAATAAATAGTAATAAATAATAAGTAGTATGATTTACTATATTTTTTTTTGTAGGAACGAAAGGCGAAGAATTACTGCCATTTATAACCCACGAGTGATTGCAGAGTTCTTCAATAGTAATACGTTTTTTTGGATCAGTCTGTAACATTACACGTATCAAACGCTTACTACTACCAGAGAGCCAGCTTGGTTCGTCGAAATTTCCACTCTGAAATTTATTAATCAACAAGTTATAATGAATCTTGATAAACAAAATTAGAAACTCGAGTTATGATAAATAAGTACCAAAATTTTTTTATATAAATTGTCAATATTATTGTCATCAAAGGGAAGAAATCCGCATAATAATGCGTACAATAACACTCCCATACTCCAGATATCTACTTCAGATCCTAGAAAAATTTCATTAGTTCAATAATTGACGGAAAAACAAAAAATTAAATTGTCTTAAAATGACAATGATCCATAAATTTATATGAAATTTATTAATAAATACCTAAATATTTTTTTCCTAATATTAATTCAGGTGCAGCATAGGTTGGAGAACCACACGAAGTTAATAAATGAGTTTGCATTCCGCCTCTAGGTTTAGCACACAACCCAAAATCAATTAATTTCAAATTTTGCTCCTTGTCTAGCAGTACATTTTCCTAGTTAAATCAAATAATAAGAATTAAAGTATTGTATAAATTATTAAAAATATTAAAGAACTTCATCTCAAAATTTTTAAAATCAATATCTAATTTAATCATCATTAATTAAAAAAAAAAAAAAAAAAAAAAAAAAAAAAAAAAAAAAAAAAAAA